TTTTATAATTCTTATAAAATATTAATTTTTTATTAAAAGTTATATATATATGTATGTATGTTTTTTTGTTGTGTTGAATAATAATAAAAAGAGAATTTGAGATTTAAATATTCTTACGTATTTTTAATTTTTAATTATTATTTATCAATTTTATTAATATAAAAATAATATTTTACCTCTTTCAGAATAATTTTAATATCTTCACCTTTTTCCCTAATAAAAAACTAATTAAAATAACTATTTATGCCGAAGTGTGTTAGTGTTGCTATGTTATATAAGTACTTGTAAATGCAGAGAGGAGTAAAATATAGTCGTTAAATATAAAACTTTTTATCATCCACTTTGTCGATTCATGATTAAGTTCATTAGTTGGAGATTGGATCGTTGTTTTGTTGTGTTTGCGATCTTAAAAGCTACAATGATGTTCATGACAATGCCTTTTTGTTTTTTTAGTATTGAATCAAATCCCTAATTTTTTGCAGAGCCTTTCTTCGTCAATACCCATCTCTCTTCTTCAGTCTCGTGAAATTTGCAGAATCTGTGGTGGTTGTTTACTAAATGGAAGGGAATGGAGCAAAGTAGCGGAGTGGGCTTTCGCCATCAAGAATGCTGCTATTACGTCGTCGTTTTCCAATGGATTCACGCCCCACTCGGGTTAGACTCGTGATCGCTCCTAGTTAGTTATGTGTAAAAAAAATCATTTAACCATACTTGTATTGTAGCTATGCCATCCCCCGTATCAGTCACTGTTACAAAGCTTTACTGTTTTTATTCCATTCTTTATCTATAATTAACAATTATCAGTCTACCATTCTGACCCCTATATGGACGTCTTGCTTTGCTTTTTTGTCAACAACAAAATAATAAACTAATCACAGCAACAGCAAAACAACAAATATTGAAAACCCAAGAGCTATAATCGCAATTTCAACTTCATTGAAGCATATTTGTTATCACATGGTTTTATAGAGTTGTTTTCAGCGTAAGCCATCAGACGCCGAACAATTGGTACATAGGCCATGATTGCCATAAAATGATGAACGGGGAAACTTCATTAGCATTTTGGGTACACAACCACGAAATGAATTGTAAGAAATATTGAGTTCAAGTAAGGAGAGGAGTTCATCAAGAACTTCTATGCTTCCTGTCAATTCATTCTCGGATACATCCAGTGCTTGCAACATTTTCAGGTTCCCAATCTCTACAGGAAGGTCACCTATCAGCCCATTTGAACTTAGATTCAAACCATAATTCAAATTCTGCAATGCTCCAACTGATCTCGGAATTCTGCCTCCAAGCATATTGCCACCAAGTTGTAGTTCAAGAAGCTTTTTATAGTCCGACAAGAAAGCAGGGATGCCCCCACTAAAGTGATTCTCTCTCAAAATTAGTATGGTTAGTCTAGTCCAACTCTGCAGACTTGATGGCAATGAACCATTTAGGAAATTGAATCCAACATCAAACCTGTCCATTATGGTACAATTTGACAGCTGAGAGGGCAAAGGACCTTCTAAGTTGTTGTGAGAGAGATTCAAAGTCCGAAGATTCACGAGGTTCCCTAGCTCTGAGGGTATAAGCCCTGTAAGTTTGTTCTCGGACAAAATTAAGCCAGTCAGATTTCTGCAATTTCCCAAACTTGATGGAATTACTCCATGGATTTTGTTGTTGCTGATATCCATAAATGTGAGATTCGGATTGCTTCTAAAATCAGGAAGAGGCCCAGTAAAATTATTTTGCTTGAGAATTAACCTTCCAAGAGTTGTACAGCTCCCAACATCAGGAGGTATGTTACCTTGAAGTTCATTGAAGCCCATAGTCAGAATACTTAACTTCTTGCCAAAACACAGATTTGGTGGGATGTTGCCGGTGAATTTATTATTTGTTACGTCCAACAGAACTAAACTGCTGTTAATTCCCAAGCTTTGAGGTATGACTCCGGAGAACTGATTGTTAAACAATGAGATGTTTTTCAGTTGCTTGAGCTCCGTCATCTCCAAAGGCAGTTCCCCAGAAAGACTATTATTATACACGAGGACGTACTCAAGACCTGTAATCTTCCAAATGCTAAGTGGAATTTTACCCGTCAATTGATTGATAAACAATTCAAGATCCACTAGTTTGCTTAGTTTTCCGAGTTCAGTTGTGTTGAATATGGTGTGGCAAATTTAGTCCCACATCGAATGAAAATCTGTTGTTGGTTGTCGGTGGGTATTTAATGTGAAAGCAGCCCTGATGGATAGGTGGATAGATTGAAAGCTCGTCTTGTGGTTAAGGGATACACGCAAGTATATGGTTTGGATTACAGCGACACCTTCTCTCCAGTTGCAAAGATGGCCTCAGTTCGTCTCTTCTTAGCTATGGCTGCTATGAGGCATTAGCCTTTGTTTCAATTAGACATCAAAAATGCCTTCTTACATGGTGATTTGGAGGAGGAGATTTATATGGATCAACCTCCTGGGTTTGTTACTCAAGGGGGGTCTGGTCTTGTATGTAAATT